TTGTCTGTAAAATTAGGTAGACTTGTAAAATTAGGCCAACTGATGATCCCACCATTAACTGTAATATATGATTATGTTTTGTTTTATTTCATTTTAATGCATTTTATTTGTAATTCTGGTCTGTGACCATAATAAAATATCGATTGATTATTTAATAGTACTTTGCAAAGCCTTTATATGGATCATTATGGCCCAAGTGAAGCAGTCTTTCTTGTAGTGTTAAAGCAACTGCATCTTCCAGAAAGCTGAGTGCATGCTTCAAAGGCTGTCCCCACCTGTCTGTTTTTGTACAAACAATGCTTTTGTTGCAGCTGCTAGAAAAGAAACTCGGTATGAATATATATACATACATAGCCAGAGTCTGGCTTTGAAGCAGCTGCTTTAATGATTCAGAGAAGAATGCTTCACATAGCATTTTTTTCAATGCTTTGCAGGGCCCTATTATTTAATCAAATGTACATATAAATCAAATAAAATCAAATTAAATGTTGTCATCTTCCAACCCACTGCTTGTTAGGATGCAGCCCTGGTATGCCATCCAAAGGCAAAGTGTAGTGTTTGGCCTGAAATAAAAATTCATGTCCTCAGCTGGTGCTGGAGTCCTTATCAGTCTCCTTACCACTGCTACTACATGGGAGTCTTAAGGCAACACAGGATCAAAGATCACTCCATTATGGTGACCCTCATCTTTCATAATGGCATCTAGATGTATCTACCTGCCAGCAGACAGAGATCCTGATGAATCAGACGTTCTTTCCCTATTTACACCTCCCTGATGCTCCTCAAATCTACTCTGGATGCCTGAGGGATCCTCCTAGGCAGATTTAGAGAGTTAGGGCTGCGAAAGGAGGAAAACTAGGGAAATTCTCACTGATGAAGTAAAAGTGCCCATACCTCCAAGGTAATCTCAATAAGCAGCTTCTATGAGGGTGTTGGCACAATGCCCTGGCAATACAAGCTATATTCTTATGCCACAGGCCATAACAAACCAGCATCTGGCAACAAATCATTCAGTGGTCCCCTTCTGTGCTCTTTTCACATAAATGACTCATGCCTCTAACCCACAAACAGTTTACATGGTGACAGCCCAGATTTTTTTACAAGTCAGACCATGGGCACAATAGGGGTTCTAACACTCTGAGTCAGTTAGGTTTTCAACTGAAAATTGTTTATGGACCTGCCAGAATGTCTTGGCTAACGTTTTATACTAAATTTGTTAAACATCTGATTTTCAAGTTGTGTCCAGCTGCGATGACACATAGCAGTCTATCAGCATACGGTTCTTCCTACCAGCAACGGAAGGAGTTGGTTCCAAGGGAGCTGATCTTTGCTTCCCCTTCTGCTTCTCCACTTTTTCTTCTGTCTCCCTGTACCTACAGAGGAGAGCAAAGCAATTCATCTTTTTGCTAATAGGTGGACTGAGGACACTATCCAACAGGCATAACAAAGTGTATAGGAGAAGATTCCATATGCATTGACTGATTATAGCAGAGAGCTTTTCAACCAGCAACAATGGATTGTAGTTTAGCTCTGAAAACCAATTGAGAAAACTGATTTTATCCCTTGGCTTCAGGCCTTCTCTGAAATCCAAAGGCAAATTCGCATTAGCATAGAGATTTCTACGCTATTAAGATACATGCAGGTAAAGATTGTAAGCAAACTCTTGCCCAAGCTTTGTTATCTTGCATATCAAGAGGTATGTTTGCACTTGTGAATGGCACAAGCTCTTCCACAACTCTTTTCCATTGCATATTAGGAGCGCTGCCAGAATTCCTTCTGCTGAAATACTATTTAATTCCACCCTACATGTGTCACAATGTTAAAGATCAGATTGAAATGGCTCTTCTGTCTATGGAAAGGAAAGAGTCATCTGCAGAAATGAATCCATCTGTACAGCTATTCATCTAAAATCACTGATACCTACCTAATGGCAAAGGTTGCTTCCAAGTCCAAGGAATTTGTCTGGGATCCTTTTTCTTTCTCTCCCTCATTATCATTGGCATCCAGCTCTGCATTGATCTATACCTCTGTCACTTCAAGAATGGAGTTTTAGTTTCCTTCAAGGACGTTGATCCAGAAATGCATATTTAAAAATATACAAGCTATGTCATTTATTACAGTATTTATATTGCTATTTTCAACAATTATTGCACTGCAAATTCATAATCAACTAGAAGAGCATATTTCCAGTTCTGATTTTAAGGACCAGGATGCATGATAATTTTACTTCACCCTCGTTTCCATTTCCCTAGGCAATAAAGAATCTTGTGGCATTTTAAAGACTAACACATTTATTTCAGCAAAAGCTTTCACGGACTACAACCCTTGTTAACAGATTCATTGTTTGCAGCAGGCTTACAAGGCTATGCCTCTTGAAATATATAGTTCCAAGTCTTTTTAGACGTTGGATAAAAGCAGTGCATATGTTACAAATTAGGGTTGACATTCAGGAGCCTTTCCATTAACAATAATATAAAAAATGAATGGAAGCCCACCTTGCTCTGAGGGGAAAGAGGAGAAGAAACTCAACAGCTGCTGTCATCCTAATGCAATACCAGCCTTTTCCTCTCCAGCTTAAATCAGAAGCAGTTTTGAGGGATCATTTTGCTGTGAGGGGAGGTGAGAAGAAGCAGATGAAACTTTGAGATAAAGAACATAAAGTAACAGAAGAAAAAAACAGTAGAAGTCAAGAAAAAGAACATGCCAGGAAAAAAAAAAATCCAAATGGAGATAAATAGATAGATGATAGATAGATTGATTGATTGATTGATAGATGATAGATAGATAGATAGATAGATGATAGATAGATAGATAGATAGATAGATAGATAGATAGATAGATA